AATAGTGCAATTTATTTACCATGCCAAAAAAATCTTATCTTATCTGAAGATTTTACAGAGCTAAAACTGGCTGAACAAGGTTACGCACACAGTCAGTTATTATTTGTAACCAGAAATAAAAATGTGTCTTCTTTTGGGGCAAGTGTAGAAATGCTGCCCATAATCCCTTGTTGCACATAGATACAGAAGCAGAGTTAAGCTAAACTATTAATATCTATAAAAGAACCCAACTGCTTTACATTTCCTTAACTATTCTCAGGGCAAATATTACAAGCAAGCATTTCCTGTTAGCTTTCAAAGCTTCGTGTTGCATAGACAGACCTAGCCCAATAAAGCGGCTTGGGTTTCTCTGTGTAAGTCACAGCACCATGCAGCGCTGCACAACACCACAGGGCCCCTAGACGGGAGGGAGCCTGGCAACAACCCCTAGCGTGACGCTGACTGCACTGCAGACTCGGCTCGACTGCGAATGTTGGCGACGGACGCCGCCCTTGTATTGCTGCCTTTTGCATTGTTGTTATTGTTAAATGCGCGAGTTCAGCTCATGCCAAGTGCAAGTGGCAACCCCACTTCAGAGCCCCTGCCCGCCCTTTTGGCCCCTTGGTCCCCTTGCATGTCTGCTTGTTTACTGTCTGCACTGCGTTCGGGCTGCATTCGCTGTCGCCGCTGACGTCGACTGCGGCTGCGACTGCGGCGGCGACAGCGAGCTGGCCAAGTGGCAGCCGCTGAACTGGCAGTCGCTTCAGTCCTGACTCGGGATGTTAGCGCGTTGGGCAGGTCATGTCTGGCAGGCGTAGCAGCCGCGTCGCGTGGACTAACAAAAAATAGCAAAAAAAAAAATAAAAATAAAAATAAAAATAAAATAAAAAAATATGATAATAATAAAATAGTTTTGCATTTTATACAAAAGAAATCAAATGATATACCACAAGTGTGTTCAAGCAAATCGATTTAGTGCCGTTTAAGTGTAAGATTCTAGTGTATAAGGCTCGTCGAGCGTACGCTCTGTATATATAGTCTATATAATCCAGAAATACGGCAAGCCGAACAGACCGTGGCAATGTGTTCATACGGCCGTAGAACTCTATACTTTTATCGTATCTATTTTCGCGATATTTTTGCGATAATCAGTTTCTTCAAATCGCGTTTAAAATGCATTTTGGCCAATACTTGAGCGATAATGAGACTGAGAGACCAAAAACAATACCAAAATTCTTGTGCAACAAATCTAAGGAAAAGGTAAATCCTAAAATATATATAGCATTAATTGTATACTTTTGCTTTTCTGCGACATGAGCATGTCCAGTGGCCAGTGCCTGGGGTCCGGTGCCAGGCGCTGGCTGACCATGTCCTAGCGCACCATAAAGCTCGCCGCCTCATGTCCTGTGAAAGTTTTTGCCTTTCTTTTTTTTTTACCCAATGCTGCTGCTGCTGCTGCTGCTGATGTTCGTGGCAGTTCAATAACCTTCCAAAATTCGCAGCCAGTAATGGCAGCAGCAGCAGCAGCAGCAGCAGGAGCCTCGCGAGGCCTGACTCCACGCCAGACACAGACAACAACAAGCAGCAGACGCCGCTGCCGCTGTCGCTGTTGCTGCTGCTGCCGCTGCTGCTATTGTTGTCTCGCTTGCACGCATCGAAATCGAATCGCTGCCGTTCTATCTGAATGGCTGGAGTGCAAAAAATTAAAAGTGAAATTTTGTGCGCTGGCGCCTGCGCCGCGCCAACATAGTCCTGCCGCTGCATTCAGGGTCCTTGCCCGCAGTCGCTGCGCAGCCGACGTCAACAACGAGAACGATGCACTGCACAAACTGCACACTGTCAAGACCACAACCCAAAGCGCGACAGCTGCCCAGGCCCAGAAGCAGCATAAGCAGCAGCAGCAGGACCTTCGTTTGGCTCGTCGTTGTCCTCGTCCTCATCCTTGCCGTCGTCGTCGTCGTCGTCGTCGTCCTCGTCTGGTGTCTGTGCTGTGCATTGTGTACAGCTTTTGCTGTCGTTGTCCTGTCGTTTGTGTGTTTCGCTTTCCGTATTGGGTGTGTATACCACTGGCAGCCGGCAAAAGCCGACGACCGTGCAACGTACGTGCCCAAAAGTTCAACGAACGCGCCAGCGATTTATGTATGAAAAGCGAAAAGGATAATGAGCAGCAGCAGCAGCAACAGCGGTAGCAGCAGCAGCAGCAGCAGCAGCAGCAGCATTGGTAGCGACGGCTGCGTCGGGCCCTGCCCCAACATAATGTGGCAACATTGGCAAGGCGTCTGCTGCAGCCACTTCCCCGTATGGAAACTTCGAACTGGCGTCGTCTGGCGCTGCCTGAAAAGGGTCGTTCGCCTTTTCTGTTGTCTGGTAAATTTTACTTTGACTTTTTTCCGCACACCCGCCCCCTCACACACACTCAGCCAGTCAGTCTGCTCCTGTCTGCGTCCGCCCCCAGCGCCGCTCCATGTCTCGAATTTATGCGCATTTTCAATCGCTTTGTCGTAGGTCGTGTTTGTTGTTGTTGTGTCGTCAAGGTAATCTCGCACACAGGATTATGGCGAGCATATATATCCTTTTAATCCGCTTCGCTGCCAGCGTTTGTAGTTAGCTACCTGAGCGCGGACATCTTAATCTCGGCTTGCTTATAGAAATTTCCAGTTCTTTTTTCATACTAATTGTTGCTGGCAATTTTTTGTCCTTTGTGGCGAAATTATTCTTTTGGCAGCGGCATCAACTAGCTGGTAGCCATGGCATCATGCCCCATGTGGCATGCAACTGTCAACTGTCTGCGCTGCATTTGACCTTTGGGTGCAATGACCCCAGTGCGACAGCTGCAGATGATGCAATTCCATTGCGGAGCTCACCAAGTCAACAAGTAGGCAGGCATCTAAATGTGAAATGTGAAAAATATTATATCAAATCTTTAAAAAGACAAATCCTTAAACTTAACATTTGTTTTGATTTAAGTAAGAGCTGAGAACAATAACTAAGTAATTATCAATTATTTTATTGCTTTTCACAACTCCTGCACATTTTTCGTAGCATGCTTCCAGGCGTTTCTGAGGCATTTCGCTTAAGCTTTACTTGATGTATATTTAAAGCAGCTTTTATCGATTGCGATCAACTTGCTTGCAGCCTGCTCGAACTTATATGCCTTTCAGTTCAAATTGTAGCGCAAGGCATGCAAAAAATGCTCTCAACAAACTCAACGTCAAAATTGAATGCTTTAATTAACACTAACAAAATCAACAACAAAATGTAAAACTTTCACTGCGCAATAAGTTAGAAAAAAAAAAAAAAACAAAAGAAAAAAAACTAGAAGCAGAATAAATTCTAAATCAGCTGATAAGAAAAGGCAAGTGCATGGCAAATGTAAAAGCAGAAGAAGCAGCAGCTGCAGCTAACTGTAACTAAATGGTAGCCGATAAGAGGGCAACGAATTGTGCGGCGAAGCGAGGCGAAGTGGGGCGAAGGCGAAAAAGTTGCATTTAATTTATGATTAGGCGGCCAAACGACCTACGTCAAAGCCGAAAAGCCAATAAAACAAAGCAATCAATTGCACCTATAAACACATACGTAACTATATATAAACACATATACACACACACATATATATATATATTGCAGTGTGTGTATGTTAGAACTGTGTGATTTACAAGCATTTCTCAAAGCAGAAAAAAAATCAAGATTGCGCACACAGGCGGATACATTTCGATTGCAAATATAAAGATCTTACATATACATACATATATATATATTCATTTCTTTATTGTTTCTCATATACAGATCTGTTAAGGTTTAATATACTTTCGCTTTTAATTGTTGTTATTGTTGCAGTAAAAATGAAATTTTTGTTTAAATGCAAAGCCGACTGCGAGACTTGGACTCGTGTAGACTGAGGCAGCAGCAACTGAACGACGGGCAGAAGCTAATTAATATGCGAACGCTGACAAAAAGCAGCAACCAATTGATAAGCAAAGTGAGAGAGAGAGAGAGAGAGATAGAGAGTGGGCGAGAGAGGGCAAGTGGGAGGGTGGGAGAGAGTGAGCGCGCTCAATTGCATTGCTATTGCACATGCGCTAAATGTGAGCAACAAATTTCAAGGTTAAAGTGCAACGAAACCGCAACAATACTTTTGCACAGCCCGTGCAACCCTTGGCTGCCCGCTGCGGTTGTGGCAGGGATGGGGGTTGCTGTCTGTAGAGCGCGCTGTTATAGATACATAGTATTTGTCTGTGTGTGTGTGTGTGTGTGTGTGTGCGATTGCTATTACATATATGTATATGTATGCATATTTTATTTTGATATCAATTTTAATTAGCATAAATTGAATTGCAATTTTTATTTCGTTTGCTGTTGCCCTTGAATTGCAAATATTAATTTCAGGCTTGCTTGCTTTTATTAGATAATGAGTGCAACTAGTCAGCGCACAAAAGATACACGCTCTGAGATACTTTGCATACTGAAAATTCGACGTGCGCATCGTTGCAACGTTCCATTTGTGCATTCTATTCGCATGCACATTCTCGACTTGTGACTCAAGGTTATGATGATGCTGCTGCTGCTGCTGCTCACTGACTGACTGACTGACTGCAATCACCCACCAAACACCCCTCGCCACCTATCTTACCGCTACACTACAAAATGAAAAAAAGCTTTGGCAATTATTGCGCGCACACACACACACACACTAACTCAGCTTAGCACACAATTTTATTTTATCAGCTGAATGCACCGCCCCCACACACACAACCCCGCGCTGTTTGCCCACTCTGCCAGCTCCCACTTCCCCTCAGTTCCCCTCTAGCCCTTCGTTTGGCGTGCTTTCGTTTCGTTTTTGCATGCACATAAAATAAATGCGAGTACTCAACGTTACAACAAATTCTGTCAGATATTTGTCGCGGATTTATTGTTGTTGTTGTTGGTGTTGTTGTTGTTATTTCTCTAGCCTCTGCTGCAGCGCACATTTTGTATTTATATTTCCGGGTTGTTGCACGCCCGTTCAAAATTTTGTTTTGTAGTTACTCGCAAATTGTATTCGTTTGTTTTCGTTTGTTGTTTTTGTAGCCGTATCTAAATGCATAAACATCATAATTTGTGCCACACGCAGCCCGTAGACTTTTGTAAATAATAAATTCATCATTACTCAATGTGAAAATGTTCAATAAATAATGATGTATAAATAGCAATAATTACATATATGTTTTTTACACATTACTATTTTACTTTATAGACATCCCAGCGTCCTTGAGATAGAAATATTTGAATGCAATATTTAGAAATCTTTAAGATCTTTAGATCCCCAACTATTTTATCTACATTCTAATACGGCTCCTCGCAAGGATCTACTTGAACCACAAATCCCTGGCCAGTCTTGTTCTCTCCCTTTGTCTCTTGTTTTCAGCTTAAGCTGCATTTATAATTCGCAATTAGTTCTAACTGCTTTAAGTCCTCTTGAGCCACAGATCTAGGGGCCAATCTCGTCCTCCCCCTTTCCCTCATTTACCCTCCTGCTTTCAGCTCAAACATTAATTATAATTCACAATCAGTTATAACTAGCTTTAAGTGCCTGCTCTTCACAAAAATAGCTTCCTCATAGCAAGTAAATTTCAGTAACTTATCTGATTAGCTTATTCTTCTGTAGTCAAGTTTTATGGCTTTTCCGGCGTTACTTTCCACATGTCTTTAAGAACGCACCCTTCGTAACTGAATCATCAGGGAAATACACACACGCGAATACGAAGTGTTGCCTGGTGGATGGGAAAGCCGATTAGAAAATGTTTTAGTGGAAAACGCAATACACAATACGAACGACCCAGGCACTCCCCAATATAAACAAATATTTGCATTACACTTATAAATACATCGTGAAATTTGTTTATTCATTGAGACTACCCAACAGATATGCGTAGATTTCCTAGATAGCGCACTATTCGCAAGGCCACCCACTGAGCCCTGACACCCAGCCAGCCCGAGCGAGACGGCGCTATGTAAGCGGACATTTTATGGCCTTTGTTGCAGCAGTTATCAGTAGTACTCCATATAAATATATATAAATATATATATATATATATATATGTATATATATGCATGCCTGTATATAGGTAGTATATTGGCTGCGGTTAGTACAGTTTGCGTTGCCTATCGCGCACTTGTCCTTGAATCGAAATATCGCCATTTGGTTTTTATTGCTGAATATTGTTGTTGTAATTGCATTTGTTGCATTTTGTTTCGTTTCGCAACGCTTCCCCATTGCAATTTGATAAAGATCGATGCAGCGTCAACGACGTTGCGGAAGTTTTTCACAGTCTAGAATAACAAAATTATTATGAGCATTGCATCAATACTCAGGCGACAATTCGTACATATATAAATGCATCTACATATAAATATATGTATACATATATATATACTATTTATATACTATATGCATAAGAACATGGTCGGGCGCATAGCTAACGCAGCCACAGGCGGCCGTAACACACGGCGTATGCGCAATGTGCAAAAGCTTATCAAAATGCAAATGCACTCGGAGACGACGCTGATGATGACGACGGCAACGTCAGCGGGTCGCCTGCGTTCAAGTTGAATGTTAAACTCGACAAGTCGTTTCGGTTGACAATTTTCTAATAGTTTTTTATGGCTACTTTTGTTGTCTAAACTAAGCTTATGGGGTATATTGAATTGGTCAGTGTGCAGGTAACCTATTTATGCCAATTGTAGGGTATGCTTGAGTTCCATCAAATGTCAAATGTTTTCATATGTAATAATATTTCATATTTTCGTGCACAATTTTAATCAGCTTTTAAGGATCATTATTTAGGACCATAATTTATTTATCTGTGATTTTTCTTAAATATTTTAAACTATTTATGTCAATTACAGGGTATGCCAACTATTTCAGTTTTCTTATTAAAATCTCGAAGGTTATAATAGTTATATTAAATCAGTTTCTATTGGTATTTTAACTTAACCTACATATAACAATTGTAGGGTATGCATAGGTTTTGCCAACTTTTTCGAAATGATGTTCTGTACACGAAATGCGTTCGTGTATGTGTGCAGTTGTGTGTGTGTGTGTGTGCGTTTGTGTGGCACTTATTTATTTTTAATTTGCTGCGCCACTCTCTAAGCAAATTTCGCGTTCAATTCCCGCTGGGCCCCCCAACCGTTCGCACCACCTGCCCTACGCTCGTTGCGCTCGTGTCCTTCAAATGCAATTGTGCGATGATTAGAAACGCAAAGCGTTGAGCTTTTTACTTTTTGTTTCTAATGCGGGCAACTCTTTATAAACACACACACACATACTCATGTAAACACATTAATCTTTGTGCATGTGTGTGAGTGTGTGTGCAGCTGTTTATTTTCATTTTCATAGCGATAGCGAAAAGCTTTTGGCGCACTACCTGCACACATACACACCCACACACACCAACATACACACCCATACACAATTATTCTAGTTTATTTTGTTATTTATTTTTATGCCGACGACTTCCTAGAGCCAAAACGCATCTGTTCTATGTTAAGATGCGACAGAGCAATGCATTATCCAATTTTGGTTAACGTTCAGCGAAAGTTAGCTATAGAAAGAAGTCCCTTATTGCCGAGCAGTGCAAAATCGAAAGTACCTAAAATAAGAATAAAATTGAGATTGAGAAAAAAAAGTGAATAACTATTTCGCGGCTGGCGCCAATTGCCAACACAAACGCAAACACACACCCACAGACATACAGACACAGACACACGCACATGCAGCTAGCCAAAAGTGTTCGCACGTTTCCGCACTCATCAAAATAGAATCGAAGTGCAATTTTACAATTGCAACGCAAGTGCAAGTGCAACCCGTCGGCAACACATGCACAAAGATACAGTATCTGTGTATCTGTAGCTGTGTCGATGTGCTTGCATCCGTGTTGTTGCCGCCATTGCCATTTGCCAAAGTCTGGGCAAAAAGTTCTCATTTATGCTGCACGTCGCCGCAGTTCGCATTCTACGTGCGTGTAGCTCACAGATTTAGTTACGGCAAAGACCCAAAATATATAAATCGGAATACAAAATAGTATACGATCATTGTAAATTACCGTTAAGCCAATGGCAAAACACTTTAACTATTGGGTGAGTGCTGTTGGTTAGTAAAAATATATATTTATTTTTGATTACAATTCTTAAGTGGTCTGTAAATAATGAGCTGTTATCAAAAGAACTTAAATGCATATCTGATAAGACTCTAAATATATATAAAATAGCTATTTGGGTTTAACTCATATTTCCTATGCTAACTGAGATTGCAACTGAAAGTTTTCAGCTTGAACCGTTTGCGAATTTTAATCTTCACTTTACTTCAATCAATAGATTTGCAGGCAATTGGAAATATAATTAAGAATTATTGTATTAAACATGGAATATGCTAATAATGTTTAGATTTGCCTTAAGACTTCAAGCAGTTTCCTTTCTTAATCTTACTCTCAGCTAGCCAATAGCTAACTTGATTGATAGCTTTTTAAAGCTCCTTCGCCCAATCAGCGATCTCAGCTTAGAAGTTCTATTTTCTATGCTGGGACAAGCTTATGTAAAGCGGGCTCTAAATTAATTGACATGCTGCATCAAGCTTGCAACATAATTGGACATCTCGAATTGCATAGCTGTCAGCATGCAGCACACTTGTGGCATTGTCTGCCACTAACAGGCAACTCACAAGCTCATCATAAAAAATGAAAAAAAAAAAAACTCACAAGAAAATGTGAGGCTCATCAATATGGAAGCTGCCGCCGTCAATTCCTTTGCCAGCCTTGCACAATACGTTTATGATTGAGCGGCGGCGCAGCAAAAACAAAAACAAACCACGCAAAGAAGAGACAGAAAGTAACGTTAGATTGCAACCACCGTTGGGACGCCAGCGACAGCAGCAGCAGCAGCAGCCCCACCGATGCTGAAAGCGTCCGGCGAAATGCAGTCCGCACGAATTCGCCAAGCAACTGCGAAAGCTTTTTGCATGGCGCTCAAAAGCGCAACCCTTGAACAAACTTGAGCGTTAAACTGTTTTTTTCGGCTGCGCTGGCGCCGCTGCCGTCGTTGCCGTCGCTGCTGCAGCTGAGTGAGTGCATTCATTGGTAATGCCGGGTCGCTCGTTTGGCGACAGCGGCGGCGGTCTCTCCCTAGTCTGAATGCAGCGGCAGCAGCAGAGGCAGAGGCAGAGGCAGAGGCGAGCGAGCTTTGAGCATGGCGCCTGTGCCGGTTGCATGTATATTGTGTATATGTGGGTCAGTAGTAGGAACACTCGGTCCGCGTCTGTGTGGATGGGCACAGCGTTCATTCTAAATACTTTTTTGCACATTAGTTTAATAATTTTAGTTTTTCTTGTTTTTGTTTTCATTGCATTTGTTGCCCGATGCATTTTTGTTGCCCTCCATTGTAGCTACTGTTGCTGTTGTTGCCGCTATACATTTCCGCATAGCTGCATTTGTGAGCGCAATTTGATTTGCGAGCGGGTTTGAGAATCCAACGGGAAGACACAAAATATTTCTGATGTCGCTGCCGTGAGCTGGTTCAGTGCAATCGGGTATGCGGTGCGGTCGGTTGTTCTCGCTAACGGTGTTATTCTCACCGCCGGTTCGCAAACTTCAAACAATGTGCATTAATCAAATGTTAACCGAAAATTGCTAAAACTCTAAGAAATTAGTTTAAATTTTTTTCAAAATTCCTGGAAATTTGCTGGCTGCAGTCAACAATGTAAGCTTTTTCGGCTGGTCAACGCGGCGTATGCGTAATATATTGAGCACGAAAACCAGCAACGAAACAGAAAGTGATGCGTAATTTGCCAGCACAAAAGTCCAAAAATTAAAACAAAACAACAACAACAACAAGAAACGAAGCAATAAATGATTGAAATTATTCAGTGTGCGAGCAACAAACATATATAAATAAATAAAAAAAAAATAAAGAATTCAGCGGCTCAATTAACAGGAATATATGAATTCAAATTTGTATATTTGGAACAAAGTAACTGTCATTAATAAGCGCAAAAAGCAGCAAAACGAGAGTACAAACAGCAGTTGGCCAAAATGAAAATATAACAAACAAAAACAACAAAAAAAAAAACGTAACAGCCTCACGTGAGTGTCAAATTCTGAATGAGTTTCCAAATGATTTGCCTTAAACTTCGATAAGAATATGCATATATATACCTTTTTTTTTTTTGGTGGGGAAAGAGATTTGCCTCTGAATGCCCCTGAACGTGAACGCGTAACCTCCATTAAGGCCGCAATCTTGAACTATGCAAACACACACACACACACACAGGCACACACACACATACACACATGCACGATGACGGCGTCGAACCGAAGCCACTCGACGCTCTGTCGTTAACGCTTTTTGCCGCTATTTTCCCGATAACGACAGCAACGACGACGCCATTGAAATACGAATGCAACACTGCAGGCACACACACACACACACACACACGCACGCACACATTTAAACAGGCACATTTTTGAGTGTAGTTTTGAGTGAGTGGGCGAAGCTTTGCCTGTCTCTGTTGAAGTGTGTGCGTGTATGCGTCTGTATGTGTATGTATGTGTGTGTGTGTGTGACGCATTTATTAATAGCCCCGGCAGAAAAAAAGTGAAAAGCAGCACAGAACATTTACAGCGCGTACTAAAGCTCTATTTTCTTTCTCTCTTCCGCCCCGTTATCTTTGCAGATCAAGTGAAACTTTAAATACAACAACAGCTAGCAGCCTAAGCAATACAACAACACAAAAGCGCACTTAAGCCTAGCCTTAAGAAGCAAATAGCAACAACAATTAGCTGTAAATTTAAAATGCATGGACATCATCATCATCAACAGCAGCCGCAGCAGCAGCAACAGCAGCAGGCACTGCCGCCGCCGCAACAAGTGCAACAAATGTCTGCCACAATGAAGCTGGCCGGCAATCCACAGCAGCAGCAGCAGCAGCAACAGCAGCAGCAGCAACAACAAACACACATAGCCATACAGCAACAGCATCCCCATCCGCATTCACATCCACATCCGCATCATCCGCATCATGCACAGCATCCACATCATCATGCAAAGCTGCTGCGACGCTCGCGCAGTCGCAGTCGGAGTCCAACGCCGGATGGCACACAGGATTACGATGTGACGCGCATGCGCGAAGAGGACTTTGAGCGTCTGGCCGTATACCTGGTGCCCGACGTGCAGGCGGAGCGCGGCCTGCCCAATCGTGCGGATAAGACGCTGCCGCGCAGCCTGACGCTCAAGTCCTCTATGGTCTACTCAACGCCAAATGTTAAGGTGAGTGCAGAGCGCAAAAAGCTTGCCGGATGTGAGGGTGTTCAGCCATCAAGCAGAGCTAACTGTTAACCCTCTAACCCTCTCTCTCTTGTTCTCTCTGCGCAGACTGAAGGAGTTTGGAGCAGCGGCGTCATACCGCGCGGCACACGCTTTGGCCCATTCGAAGGCATTCCAACCTCAAATTATCCAAATGATAAGAATAAGGCGCGCTATTTCTGGCGGGTAAGCACACAATCAATTAATGGGCATTAACTGGTTTTTGTTTAAACAAAACTATTGTTAACATATTTTTAATTTGCTGCATTTTGCTACCTTTTGAAACAAGCAAAAACTATGCGACTAACCAACTGGTTTCTCTTAATTTTTAATTTCATGTGCATATCAAAAACAAAACCAAAAAAAAAAAAACAATAAAAAAAAAAACAACCCAATTACTATACAAATATATATAACCCAACTACAAAAAACAATCGACAAATCAACCATTTATAAAAATTCCAAATTACAATTTTGCATTTTGTTGCGGATTTGGATTTGAATTTGAATCAATTAAACAAAAATACAAAAAAATAATCAGGTGCAGGGAACACGCCACATAACCTACGGGAATATTAAGGTACCACTTTATGCTTTGTTTTATTTGTGATTCTTTAACCCTTCAACGCACTCTCTCTATCGCTTTCTCTCACTAAATCTAACTGCACTCACGCTCGCTCTCTCTCTCTCTCGCTCTCTCGCTCTCTCGCTCTCTCGCTCTCTCGCTCTCTCTCACTCACTCACTCTGCCTGACTCTATCGCTCAGCAAGCACTGCGCTTGCTCTCTTTTGTAGTTTGTTTTCTGTGTTGTTGTCTCTTCAACTTGTTGCTGTTTCCAAGGAAGTTATCAAATCCAGCATTCTCCAATCTCGCTCTCTCTGTTCTCATCACTCTCCGTAGATCTTCAAGGATGATGATTATTATTATCTGGACGGCTCGGATCGTTCCCAATCAAATTGGATGCGCTATGTGGCCTCGGCATACAGCTTGTCGGTCATGAATCTGGTTGCGTGCCAGCATCAGGAGAACATCTATTTCTATACCACCCGCGACATATTGCCCAATGAGGAGCTGATGGTCTGGTATTGCAAGGACTTTGCCAGCCGCTTGGGCTACGATGTGGATCCGGAGCGCACCATATTCGGTGCTTGCAAGCAGGACGTGGATGTCGAGGAGGAGGAGGATGAGGACGAGGAGCTGGCGCACAAGAAACCCCATTATGCAATGGCCGCACCTGAAATACCCGCCGAGGTGGCTGTCAGTCACATCACCTATGTCATGGGTCTCCATCTGCCAGGTGCGCCGCCGGCAGCAGCTGCTCCTCCGCCAACAGCAACAACAACAGCTGCCCAATGTTGTCGACGCGCCAGTCCGCCTGCCCATGTCAGCACCACCAGCAACCACAACAACAACAACAACAACAGCTCCAACTCGCTGCATCCGCATATACAGCACAGCCGGCACGCGTCCGTAATCATTGGGCAGGATCGTTCGCCGCTGAACAGCAGCGGCTGCGACAAGGAGACGGCTGGGTCGCCGCTGTGCGGCAAGGATGCGCACTATGAGCATCAGCTGACGCCGCAGGATGGCAGCGTGCGGTCGGTGCGCTCAGATGAGGGCTACCACAGCAACGAGTGCCAGGAGGATGGCCTGACGCCGCCGGAGGACTCCAGCGATAGCGAGAGCGAGCACAACTATGTGCTCGACTGTTCCAAGAAGGCGATTGCTCCCAAGGAGACGGTCATTGCGCAGGCTCAAAAGCCCAGCAGTGTGACGCCGCCAGCCACTACGCCCACCGTCGCCGCCGTCGCCACGCCCAGCTGTGAGTCGGACAAGAACGAGTTTCGCAAATTCAAGGTGAAAATGCCGCTGAAGTACGAGTTCAAGAACAAGAGCTGTGTGAAAACGGAACCGCTCAAGGATGTCGAGGAGCATCTGCCGACAGCCGGCGTCACCTTGGAGGAGGAGGAGCTGCACGAGTTGCACGCGGCAGCAGCAGCTGCGGCGGCAGCAGCAGCGGCAGCGCATTCCGAGGAATCGCTGTGCCCGCCCAGTACCACAACAACGCTGGGCGAGGAGCAGCACCAGCATCAGCATCATCTGGAGCCAACCAATACGCAGCCCGCCTCCTCTACGGTAATTGTGCTGGAGCACAACTCGGGCGGCCAGACACGCACCATTGTGCCGCTGAGCAAGCCGTACTACGAAGCCGATCCGCCTGGTGAGCGCTATGTGCGCTTCACCCAGCCCAGCTCGAGCATACTGGAGACCATACTGACCAGCCAGCATCGCCTGGAGGCCGCTGCAGCCGCAGCTAATGCTTGCAGGCAGGCGAACGCCGCAACGCCGCCGCCCACCTCGCCCACGGAGATGGCCTACAGCTACAAGAAGTCGCAGCGCTATGGCAATGCCGTCAGTCCCGATTCCAGCTCCAATCTGGGTCAGCCCCAGGAGCTGAGCAGCGCGCACGTTGTGAGCGAGCAGGAGCTCAGCTTGAGCCGCGCCACGCTGATCAAAGGCGAGTGCTCGCCGCCACCCGCCGCCTCGCATCATCATCACAATGTCATCTATTCGCCGTCGAGGACGCATCATGCCGCCTACGAGCCGGGCAGCCATTCGCCCAGCTATGCAGGCTATGCGGGCTACCCGGGCGCGCAGTCACTGCATGCGGCCACCTCCACGTTCCACTCACCGCCGCACAGCTCGCACTCGCCCTTCGATCGCCAGTCGAACGCGTCCAGCGGCGGCGGCTCGGCCTCCAATTTGCATCTGCTGCAGAGCAGCACTCAAATGCTGAACCATCCGCTGATGCAGCCGCTGACGCCGCTGCAGCGTCTCTCGCCGCTCCGCATCTCGCCGCCCAGCAGCCTCAGTCCGGATGGCAACTCGTGTCCGCGCAGCGGCAGCCCCCTGAGTCCCAATTCGTTGGCCTCGCGCGGCTACCGTTCGCTGCCGTATCCGCTGAAGAAGAAGGATGGCAAAATGCATTACGAGTGCAATGTGTGCTGCAAGACCTTTGGCCAGCTGAGCAATCTCAAGGTGCATCTGCGCACCCATTCCGGGGAGCGGCCGTTCAAGTGCAATGTCTGCACGAAGAGCTTCACCCAGCTGGCGCATCTGCAGAAGCATCATCTGGTACACACGGGCGAGAAGCCGCATCAGTGCGACATCTGCAAGAAGCGCTTCTCCAGCACGTCCAATCTGAAGACGCATCTGCGGCTGCACAGCGGCCAGAAGCCGTACGCCTGCGATCTCTGCCCGCAGAAGTTTACGCAATTCGTCCACCTGAAGCTGCACAAGCGTCTACACACCAACGATCGGCCCTATGTGTGCCAGGGCTGTGACAAAAAGTATATCAGCGCCTCCGGCCTGCGCACGCACTGGAAGACCACAAGCTGCAAGCCCAACAATCTGGAGGAGGAACTGGCCATGGCGGCGGCGGCCACCTCCGAGTGCCTGGGTAAGTTCAGAGCACATCTCGGCTCGGACCCACATTCAACAGTTGCTCAAAATGGTTTTGCACTTGCAGACAAGGATTTGCCGGAGCCGGACTCGCGTGAGGCCTATGAGCAGCTGCAGCAGCACATGCATCCAGTGCATCCGAGCCTGCGTCATTTGGCCGGCGCACAGTCGCCGCCGCGTCTCATTCCACTGGGCGGCAATGGACAGCCGCACATGCATATGCAACAGCTGCAGGGCCACCAGCCGCATGCGCAGGCGAGCAATGCGCCGCCGGGCCACCTAATGCACTCGCCACACGGCGGCCCGCCCATGCTGCTGACCACAGCCAATCAGCTGCCGCCGCCAACAACGCCACACCACATGCAACAGCAGCAGCAGCAGCAGCAACAGCAACAGCAGCCGCCACAGGCCTCTCCCGGCCGACAGCCGCCCACGCATCAGCAGCAGCAGCAGCAACAGCAACAGCAACAGCAGCAGCATCTGGGGCCACCGCATAATCTGGCACAGCACTCGCCCAAGTCGCTGAAGCCGCTGCCGGACGCTGGTTATCTGCATGGACCGCTTGTGCAAACGCAGGAGAATCGACCCTCGGTCATCGAGTCCTCCAGCCAGCCCATGATCATTGAGTGCACGTAGATCCGGCATTCAAGTATCCGTAACTGTAATTCAAGTGCAATACAACAGCAACAAGAACACACCTAGAAGTTAAGAGAACCGTACGGAAGCGGACAGACGTTACCTAACTGCAGCACACACAAGCACACACAACGGTATTATTATTAGATTGTACATAGGCAGGCGGGCCCAAAACAAAACCCTAAAAACCCACTCAAAATTTATTAAAAACAAAAACCAACTCATTTCGCGCTATGAAAAACTAGATCTCAACAATTGGCAGTCCCTCAGCAACAACAAAAAAAAAAAAAATAAGAAAGGAAAGAAACTGAAATTGAATAAAACATAGAAAAGAAAACACGGCATATTATTTTTGATAAATATTTTATATTAAACAAATGGAAAATCATTTCAAGCTGTTAATTGTGAAAAACCATTCAAAGTGGCAGCAGAGCGCATTGTTTATAAACAACAAAATAATAAAAACGGCAAAAAGAAAAAAGAAAACAACAATTTTGATTCGATGTGAAAACTAAAAATGCATTTAAATTTGTTTTCGAGTTGCGAGTTGTAAAATACAATTAAATACATAGACATATATAACACATAAACAATTAGATTCAAGTTGCCTTATTTGAATTTCGTTAGCACTGAAAAGAAAAACAAAACACAAATATTTGCTTACAATTCCAAATTTAAGCAGAAGGAACATAAATTTATGAACAAAAATAGAAAATACTGCAAATACGTATTTTATATATAAATATATAAATATATAAATATAAACATAAATATTTATTATATATTTGTATGTATTTTATAAAAAGGCAGCAAACACAATTAAATCAACAAACTGTAAATAATTAAACAAAATACAATAACAATAAACTTTGACATATGTAATAAATAATTAATTCTTTTGAAGGCCTGTTAAATTTTGCAACCGCTTCATTCACTAGTGTTTAGCTATTAATTACTTAGCCACGTAGAGATTATTATTATGATTATATGATTATTATGATTAGTGAAAATATGAAGAAAAAAAAAAAACAAAAAAAAATCAACAAGAACAACAAACAACAAAAAACTTAGCTGAAAATCGGTGCTTTTGACTGTTTCCATTTGTCCACATTTACATTTACAATTGTATTTGTATTATGAAACACAATAATTATTACCATAAACTTAGGTACATAATAAACGCATATATTATAATAAATATTAGTACACATACATAGCCTAATAATGTAGCAACATATACTATATCATAAACCTTCTCTAAGCAAATCTTTAGCTCTTTGCAACAATTACTTTTGCGCCTTAGAAAAACAATTTCCCCCTCCAAAAAAAAAAACAAAAATGCAAAAAAATATGAATTATTCGTAACTTTACCAAAATTTAGCAAAAGCAAACAAAAACAACAACAACAACACACTCTCAATTAGTCTTCGGTTTTTCTCAATGTCTAAGTTAAGCAAAGCAAATGGCTTAGTTAATTTGTCTGATTAATATAATGAAAACTAATATTTAAGCTTATAATATTAATGAGGCTGACTAGCGTTAAGTCTAATCTAATTAGCTCTTAATACAAACCTGTATATTATAGCTTAATACCAGCTTAAACTGTAAGAGACAACACCAATTCGTAACACTTAAGTATTTATCGTGTACGCGCGCTGCGAGCGTACGCCGCGTATACGTAATATTATTGAATCGAAGATTTCATTTACAAAACGTGCGTGCGCTCGTCTTGTAAAGTTGTTTACCGGGTTTTCATTTGTTTTGATTTATTCGTTTATATGTGGGGTAAGTGGCAGCAGCGCGTGTTCGACCCGCTAATTGAGACTAAGACTATGCAAAATTCAATTTGTATTTTTGTATTCGATACAAAGACGCAAAACCGTTGAAAAAGTTGAACGCAAAGTTTGTACGGAGTTAGCTATAAAACTAGAGTCTAAGTTTAATAAGCATATGCAATATTTATATATACATATATATATATACATATATAAAGTATATATACGCATTATCTAACTCTAATCATAAAGTATTGAGTGGGAGACCTACATACATGGAAAATATAAAAGAAGATAATCAAAATTATATAAAAAAAAAAACAAAAAAAAAAAACATAGAAAATTGTTGATTTTATTTATTTATTTTTGGCATACGTACATTTTGCTTTTGGTTTTCTTATTTTTGTCGACTCATGTGTTGTTGGTTGTGCGTTCATTTGTTTTGGTTCTTTGTGCAATACTCAAAAATATTGAAAGTAATTTTTCGAACTGATTTCATATGATTTTTGATTTATTGATTAATTAGTTAAAAACAAAAATAACAATAATAAAATGATGTAAGGAAATGTCATGCATAATAATACTTTCCTATTCGTGAGACTGAGACTGAATGAACTACTATATATACAATACTCTTAGCTCTTAGCGTTTTGGGCAATACAACAACAACAACAACAACAAATACAACAGTAAAGAACAAACAAAGGCATACAATATAAAAACAAACTACTTTAGCATTGATTTGCTTGCCCGCATTTCGATATTTTACAACAGGAAACTTTTTGCTAAAAAAAAAGCATATTTTACAAGACAGAACAAATAGTTTTTCATACTTTTTGATTTATTGACGCATTGTAATATATATACTTATTATTTATATAAATATATACATATACAATATGTAATAGCACACGTATGTAGTTGGTAGAGAGCGGAGAGAGCGAGGCGGAAGAGCTATAGAGAGCTATACTAACTATGCCCATGGTGAAGATGCAACTTGTACAGTTATTTTGAAATCTGTTTCAGGATTCAAAACACAAAAACAAAAAAGTGACGACAACACGTAAATTTAAATGGAGAATAAATGACTGCTTCTTAGTGTTATAAGTGACTCTGATTTAGGTCAACACACACAAAAAAAAAAAAAAAAAACAAAGAAAAAAAACAAAAACAATGAATGAATCAATTATAGAAATCAAATCCAAATATATTGCATTATATATTCGATAAGTACTTATATGTATGTCAACTTTTATTGCAAATCAATATTTCCATATGTATCTGTATCTGTATCTGTATCTGTATCTTTGTCTGTCTCTGTATATTTATCTAATTACGTATATAGTGCATGTAGAGCCTTTGTTATTCATATTTATTGGTAAACGCATATTAATATACACACTATATATATGTATATATAATTATTTATATATATACATATATATACTTGATTGAAAATTGTTTTTGTATCCACAAATGTACAAAATTGGTTCTCATACACAATTAAAAACGCAGCGAATTTCATTTGCAATCATTATTAACAAAACAAATTGCAATTAAAACCTTAAATTAGTGAACGTATTTTGTTGAATCCAATTAAAATTGTTAGCGATATGTCTCTGTCATTCACCTTTTATGCCACAATAACGAAATAAAAAAGCAACAAAACAAAAAAAAAAAAAACACTAAACCAAAAACATATATGAATCCATAATTGACTAAATACATATATGCGAATTATATGCGTAAATCTAAAAAAAGAAAATGTAATGAAATTATTTGAACGCAACTTAAATTCCTATTAATTATATAAAATATCTCTAAAATATCTCTAAATGCAAACCACAATTAATACAAATACGATGAAAAGACATAAATAAAAACAAAATATTTCATACTAAAGTAAACATTTCAACAAATTTCTTTCAAAAATGCATTTACCAAAGAATTTAACAAGGAAGATTTTATTGTAGAGAACTTAAAAGTGAAGGTCTAGAAAAATGCTGACAACGTGTGTATCTGTGCGTTTGTGACGACTTCCCAAGCCGTTTAACAGTCGCTGGGTTTCAACAGAGCAACCTTTTATATCAAAGCATACTTTTAGGAATTTGCATTTATAGAGATTGCTTGGAAATTATGTGGCAGCTAATTATTTAGAGAAGAAATTGCAAATTCTTAGATATTTTTGGCTTTTGTTCAGGGCTGCAAACCCAACAATTATTAGCGGCTCATTGCTTGAAGTTCGAACCAGCTTTTGGTTCAAACCTTGAAATTAAACTTTATTTCCAAATTTGTTTAAAGCCTTGAAAATTGAATGGCTTACATACTTTTAGTGGAGAATGCAAGCACAAGAAATATTATTGGTTTACGGCTTCAGGTTCGAATCAGAATTCGGTTCAAAGCTTATTTTTTCATATATTTTCAAATTTTTAATAACACACATTAATTATGAATTTTAGCTGCCCGTTGTACTGAAAATGTGGGAAGCTGTATGTTTTTTCTTTACAGACTGCAAGTCCAAGCCAAATTTGAAGTTTGAACCAGAATTTGGTTCAGACCTTAGTTTTGGACTTGAGCAAGAAGCTGGAACCATATTAGTTTAAACCGAATCATTCAACTAATTGTGCAAATTTACTTAGCTGCCCTCAATGCACGCTTGCTTAAGAGTTTCTATGCCAATTGTACTTGCCTTTGGCTTCCGTTTTCCGTAGGTCGATGGGCTGTCACTGCAAAATGGAAACATCAATCACATGTCAATCAAGAGTGAAAGTGGGATACTTGAATGCTTATTGTGAACTGTAATAATAAGCCGGCCTCCTGCTGAACATGCAAATCGTGTGCGCTCTCGCATAAAAAAGGACACCGACAACAAGAGCAAAAACAAAAAAATAATGTATAAAAATAGAGAGATTGTCGATAATCACACAGCCCCGACACGAGGTGCCGGGCGGGTCAAACGCGTGCAGCGGGACATCCGACAAATGAAACGCTGCGTCGCTGCCACCCGCCAGTTGCAACTACTTTGCAACTTGCAACTTGCAGCATTTTTCTATATATTTTTCGATAACGATTTTGCATAGAGTTTTCATTGCCCGAATTTTCCACATTTTTGTTTGGCAACGTTTTTATAGACTTAAAGCGGATTATTTTCAGCGCATTGTGTGCGCTCGCTCTTTGTGTGTGAGTGTGTGTATGGAATGCATGTCCGGAAATGCATGTCCGATCGAACGGACCCAAAAGGCCGGCCGGACAATGGAACCGCTGCTCGCTGTTGCAATTGCATTCATGATGTGCGGCTGCCTTGTTAATCCTGTTCCAATTATGCGCATGTGAGTGGTTCGTATCCCCTAATGGGCACTTTCCATTTCAGCCATTGTGCCCGCAGGCGACCAGCCTTTCGGACACTCGCATACACAAGCGCACACACACACAAGCACACATGGGCCCAGTATCTCGGGCACAAGCCAAAGGACTCTGCTGTCGGCAAAATATTGATTACACAGGCCCCTTTGAGCCAACGTCTATATTTTTTTTTGCTACTCTGATTTTGTTTTGTGTTTTTGTTGCTGCTGTTGTTTGTATGTGTTGTATGCATTTATTAAAGATAAAAATCAAACTGACCCAAGTCTGACCCCACAGCAGCCAGTTGAGGGCAAAGTTCTGCTCTGGTTTAAAAAAAAAACTCATATCTTGTCTATATGCGCGAAATAAAAGTAAGAATAGTTGAATATCATATACATATTGTATTTTATTTTTTATTTCAATGTTTGTCGCTAAAAAGATACAATTATGTTCATTCGTATTCAATCTAATTCATAAGCAGCCACTCTGAGCGGCAAGGAGGATTTAAAGTAGTAGGTCACTAGCAATGCCGGTAATATCCGATCTATATGTTTCTATTTACCAATCGCTGACCAAGCTTTCTTCACTTTTTTGTATGTGCGCATGTTTATGTGTGCATGTGGGCGCCAGTATGTGTTTGTATGTTTGTGTGGTTGTATATATGCATGTATGTATGAGTGTATGTGTGTGTGTGTGTGTGTGTGTGTATGTGTGTGTGTATGTATGTATGTATGTATGTATGCATGTGTGTGTGTGTGTGTGTGTTTGTTTGTGTGTGTATGTATGTATGTATGTATGTATGTATGTATGTATGTGTGTATGTATGTATGTATGTATGTATGTATGTGTGTATGTATGTGTGTATGTATATGAGTGAACATGTACGCGTGTATGTATGTGTGTACGTTACGGTTTATGTATGTACATACTTATATGAGCATATATATATTAAATAATTGTATGAATTATTGAAAATAAATGTAAACATGTTTGTATATATGTATGTAAATTTCCATGCATTTGTAAGTATGTGTGTGTATCTGAGTATGTCTGAACATGTACGCGTATATATGTATATGTGCACGTTGTACGTATGCATGTATTGTTATGTGTATATGCATGTATGTATGTTCGAATAGATGTATAAATATATGTATGTATATTCGGGAACGAGTATATATGTGATAACATGTACGAGCATGTATTTATGTGTGATAGTATGTTTTTATATGTAAGAATATGTATGTATATATGTGTGTATGAATGTAATTATGTGTGTCCGTGTTTGTTTGTATGTAAGTATGTACATGTGCGTATGTTTGTATGCAAGAACGTACATGTTCATATGTATGCATTATGTGTATTAATGCATGTGTGTGTGCTTGTAATGTCTGCATTAGTGTGTGTATGTATGTGTGTATACATGGAAGTATGCATGTATGTATGTATTCATGTCCAAAATTGAATCTTACTGCGGGGCATATTCAAAAAAAAATTTTTTTTGCTGAATGCCTTTCTACTCGATTCTCATGAATTCAAGTAGGCCCCTCATGCTTAAGACAGAATTTAGCTAGGCGGAGGAGCCGGCAGCTTGGACCAGCAGGAATCGGCGGCTTCGACTGGAAGGAGGCGGCAGCTTGGACTAGCAGGAATCGGCGGATTCGACTGGAAGGAGGCGGCAGCTTGGACTAGCAGGAATCGGCGGCTTCGACTAGAAGGAGGCGGCAGCTTGGACTAGCAGGAATCGGCGGCTTCGACTGGAAGGAGGCGGCAGCTTGGACCAGCAGGAATCGGCGGCTTCGACTGGAAGGAGGCGGCAGCTTGGACCAGCAGGAATCGGCGGCTTCGACTAGAAGGAGGCGGCAGCTTGGACTAGCAGGAATCGGCGGCTTCGACTGGAAGGAGGCGGCAGCTTGGACTAGCAGGAATCGGCGGCTTCGACTGGAAGGAGGCGGCAGCTTGGACTAGAAGGAATCGGCGGCTTCGACTAGAAGGAGGCGGCAGCTTGGACTAGGAGGAGGCGACAGCTTGAACTAGGAGGAATCGGCGGCTTCGACTAGAAGGAGGCGGCGGCTTCGACTAGAAGGAGGCGGCAGCTTGGACTAGAAGGAATCGGCGGCTTCGACTAGAAGGAGGCGGCAGCTTGGACTAAGAGGAATCGGTGGCTTCGACTATGAGGTGGAGGCAGCTTGGAGTAGGAGGAAACGGCGGCGGCTTCAACTTTAATGCCGCTGCTTTGACTCAGAGGGGGCCGTTCAACGAGTCGATTTAAATAAGTATGTTAAACTTATGCCGCCCTATGCGATTCTCATGAATTCAAGTAGGCCCATCATGTTCAAGTCTGTTTCCTACAAGGCGGATGCGACGGCGACGGCTTCAGCAAGAGGAAGCGGAGTGGACCTGGAGAAATCGACGGCGCTAACAAGGAGAAAGCGGTGGCGTGGACCAGGAAGTTTTAATTATTTTGCTTAACTTATTCCGCCCCATGCGATTAACTTGAAGCAGGCTAATCATGTGCAAGGCGGTGGCGGATGAGCCGGATTCGAAGAGGATGAACACGGCTTGGACATGGAGGCGATGGCGGCTTCAACTAGGAATTGGCTGCTTTGAGAAAGAGGAGCTGGCAGTTTCTACTAGCAGATGGATACTTTGACTTGACACGTCAGTCTACTTGCCGGAATTAACGGAGGGGACGTATTCTTGTACATGTAAGTATTTATGTGTATATGATTGAATGCTTGTTAGACTAAGTTTATTTTTTGCTATGATTTTATGAACACCTTACTCTTTTATTCTTTATAATTTATGTAGGCACCTCATACTGGCCGTCCGTAAGGAGGAATTAGCAGCTCAAACAGCGAAAGATTCGGCTGCGTTTATTAAAAACGAGACAGTATTTTTCCATGTATCAATGGAGCAAACTGCGGCTCAGCTTATAGTACGTACTAAAACATTCCATTTTAAACAAATAGATTTATAGAAATATATATGCTAAGCTAATCCACACGACACGGGTTGTCCCCTTTCGCTTTATTTAAGTTAGATAACGTGCCAATGTTGTTTAAGATAAAGTGCACAGCGTTTCGTAAGCATCTCCATTTCAAGCTCTGCTCAGTCACATTTGCTACTCATGCTTATATAAAATGTTTCTTGGTTTCCCCCCTTGTCTCGTGCAGCCTCTCACCCTCGGTAGTGCGGGTCCGGGCACCCGCCCTGCGCTCGGCTGTCGTCGAGCATTTTGCGGCATTGGCCGACGATTTGGCATGCCACATAGCGGCAGGAGCGAGGCACGTGCCATGATAAATTGCATCCATGGCCTGGATAGACATTCGCAAAATGTTGCACAATGATGCTGCACGAGGGTAAAAACGCGTTGCCACGCGACATTAGCAATTTGTGTGCATAATCTGCAGCATTCATTTTGGGGTGGCAAAACGGAACAATGCGACATGCGTGTCCGTGTGCGGCTTGTTGTGCACTTTTTTATGCAATTTTTTGTGGCACCAATCAGATGTCAGGCTGTTTTTTAAGCGCTCAACCTATCAGAATGCAGACCAACAGCTTGCGTTGTATAACACGCTCGCGGTATAACAGTATGCCAGCCTGTATGACATGCGGATCTTCAGATACATGTCACGCATGCGGTGCGTACAGTTCCAAAATTTGTATCTAAAAACCGCAGATAACAAAATAAAAAAAAAACGCTCACAAATTAAAGTGCTCCGCTCTGCCTCTAGCTCTCGCGCGCTCTCTCTCTCTCTCTGCGTGATCGCTACGTAAAGTATCTGTCAGATACATTTACGTTTGTTACGTTCAATGCTCACCACGACTCGACTCAAATGTTTTTCCACACACACACACACGTGCACACGGCTATTGCTGTCGCGCTCGCACACACGCACACATATCTTGTGCGTCGTGGCCGTGTTTGAATATTGTTTTCGAAGATACAGCTACAATTTCGGGCTGTCTCTTGTGCGAGCGCGCATGTGTGTGTGCGTGCGTGTGTGTGTGTGTGTGTGTGAGTTTCAGGCACTGTGACCTTCCTAGAAATAGTAAAACGCAACTCACAGTTCAGTTTGACGAAGTGCGTCGTGCGCAGCGGCAGCGTTTTTCAATCGAGTTCGTTTTCCGAGTTTTATTTCGTTTCACTTCCATTCCGTTGCGTTTCGTTAACGTCGCATGTGCGTGCGTGCATGTATCTGTAACTGCATTGATGCGTGTGTGCGTATGTGTATATTTTGGTGTTAGTGAATAGTGTGGGCAGCGGAAATATGCAGCAGTTGACACACAACACACACTCATAAGCAATACCGAGAATTGAAGCCAAAACAAAAATTTAAATCTACAGCGGAACAGCATGGAAAATCCCAATTTAAGCAGCGAGCCAGCAGCTGAAGGCGGCGCCAGGAACAGCTCCTCGCCAGGCACAGCGCCAGGTATTAAATCTACCCCCCCTCCCCCCCTCTATGACAGACTCGCCCCTCACCGCACAGACTCCCAAATAAGAAACGGTGCGTATCCAAAACATTAAGGCCAAAGCAAAAACAAGTTTCACTTTTGTTTATGTGGCTGCTGCTCTATAAAAAACGAAATCTTATCAAACTCGACGCTGATTGGCCGCAGCGATCGCTTGCTTTTATTATTATTTTCGTTTCGTTTTGTTATGTACTGCGCAGTTCTTTATATTTGTTTTCCGCATTTCTGTTTTGCTTTTGGCATTCGACTTTTTTATTGGCAAACATTTTTTTATTGTTTTTGCTTTATGTACACATGTATGCTCATGCAGCTCGTTTTAGGGGCGAACGCAGATCAACCCTCAGACTCTTGCAAATCGAAACGCATTCACTACCCCCACCCCACTGCCTGCTGCCTGCAGCCCACACCCCGCTGAATGCAGCGGAAAATGTGCAGAAACCGCCCCTCCAGAAATCTCCCCTGCCCGGCCAGCGCATTTCTCAGACATTTTCTCGGCTTAGGCCTTTTGCTTGACTGCATTTTTTTAATAACTTTTTTTTCTGGCGTTTCTCTCCAATTTACAAGTTTAGTTTACAGAACAAGTTTGTCGTCTTACAAATTGTGTAAGCAAATTTGGGCGCATCTTTTTTACACTCCAGTGCGTTGTCCAGAAAAATAAGACGTTAATTGGGAAATAGGCGCGTTTCCCCGAACATTAGAAGTCACTCAGGCAAATGGTGGTAGTTTCAGCCAAAGATCTTGAATATATTTTTAAACTAATTGAGAAATTTTACAATGGGAAATGTGTCCTAGAATTGTGCGCTTCATTATGAATATATTTTCATAGAAATTTTATTTTAGGCAATCTAAGAGGCGAATTCTCATTTCTGTGCAAAAAATATTCCTAATATAGGAAATATTGAAAATCTATATAAAGCTATAAATTCTCAATGAAAACTCTCTCAAACAGCTGCCAAAATGAGCTCAACAAACTTTATAAAACACTAGCTAATTAATATTATTATTACTCAAGCAATATCTTGGGTAACTGCCCTCAATCAATGTCCATTTACGTGCCCACAACCTTCTCTTCAATTGAAATAATCACAGCCGAATTCTTAATGAAGCAGCAAATGTTTCAATAAGACAAACAAAAAACTCTTAAGGTCCGACAGCAACAACCCTCAAGAAAACACACACACACACACACACGCACATCTATGTATGTATAGGGTTTTTCAGATAAGAGCTATCAGCCAGCGTGCATGCATTGCAGTGCATGGCAGTATCTATGTATCTGTCAGATACTATGAGACAAACTCAAACCAAAAGATAAGCGCCCGAAAATGGAACGCAATCGAAATACCAAATTATGAATGAACGCACCAAGTGAATGAAACGCACGCGTGTGTGTGTGAGTGAGTGTGTGTGAGAGTGTGTGTGTGTTTAGATGAAACTCGCGCATTTCATAGATAAAGAAGTAAAAAGTGGAACAACAACAGCTCCCAAGCATTCAATTCAATTCAATCCAAAAGAATAAATACATATATTCTTATTAAAAACAAGGAAACCTGTTTTCCAATTGTTGTTGGTGTTGTTGCCGTGGCAGATTTTTCGGTTTGGTTGTCTTGAGCATTGCCTTGCGGCAAATGGGACAAGGACACGGCAGGGCATAAAAGTTCTTCAGCTGCTGCTTTCGGCGGCGGCTCAATTTGAATAACAATAGACAATTGCAGCCATGCCCAGGCAGGATATTCAGGATAGCTTGAGGCTCTGTTGCCGCTCAAATGCTTGATTCACCATCCTTTTTATATGTGTATGTGTATGTGTGTGCTTATAGCGACGCCCGGCGAGGAATGCGGCTGTGTGCGTCTGGGCAAATGCAAATGGTTTAATGTGGCCAAGGGCTGGGGCTTTCTAACGCCCAACGATGGCGGTCAGGAGGTTTTCGTGCATCAGGTGAGTAAACACACACACACACACACACACGCACACTGAATATCACTCAAATGTTGCCACACACAGAGTGTCATACAAATGGCCGGATTTCGTTCGCTGGGCGAACAGGAGGAGGTGGAGTTCGAGTGCCAGCGCACGGCACGTGGCCTGGAGGCGACACGTGTCTCGGGTCGACAGGGCGATGATTGTCACGGCAGCACCTATCGGCCGCGCATGTAAGTGGCCTTTGCGCAGGCTAGAAACTCAACTCTAAACCAAATTCAACTCAATTTGCAGCAATCGAAAAACTCGCCGCATGCGCTGCTACAATTGCGGCGAATTCGCCAATCATATTGCATCGGAGTGCGCGATAGGGCCGCAGCCGAAGCGCTGCCATCGCTGCCGCAGCGAGGACCATCTGCATGCCGATTGCCCGCAACGCAGCGCCGCTGTGGTGAGTAACACGCAAATACACCATGCACAGTGTGGCCTAGCTAAGTTCACATTTTTTCCACAGACACGAACCAGCAGGCGCAGCAAAAGCATTGCCAGCGACGAGGCAGCCGAGGCAGCTGAGGCGAACTCTGCAGCTCCCTAGCGCAACGGCTGGGGCATATTTGAAGTTGAAAACTTGTAAAATACACCTAAAAATAACGTACAAAACGCATCAAATCAAAGAAATACCTCACGTACAACCCACAGCTTCGTATAAGTGCAGTCATTTTCGTATGCGAAACTAGATATTAAAACAGTTTTTGGGTCGCCACAAGGTAGGCGGTGCCAGCGCCCAAACTATAGTTAAGTGATAGCGATTAAATTACTAACTAACTAAAGGCCATTCAATGATTAGGCTTAAGTAATAAGGCTTAAACACTAGCAAGAGCAATGCAAGAGTACAAATTTTTCGTCATTTTCGGCATGATTTCTGGCCTAAAAATTAACCATGCCAGCAAATGTCTTTAATGGCTTTCTTTTTTATTATTTTTATCAATAATTAATATAAAATAAATTTTTTAAAATTGTGCATTTAAAAGTAGCTAAATTTAACTAACTTGCGAACTTGCGAAAGCCTTCAAATTGAGCTACAAAAATTTTAAATAATGCAAAAAGGAAAAACTTTAATATTTGTTGCAGCTGCTTGAAAGTACATTTTCTTGGAAATTTTCTTCAATTTTCACAGCATTAACATTTCAAGTCTTGGCTTTATTTGTAGATTCATTTCAGATAACATTATATTTTATAGCCGCAGCTAAAAAGCTTTGCCCGGAGAGCTTCAAATCTCAGCGTGCGACACACACACACACATACACACACCCTACCACCCACCAAGGGGTAGCTGATTGATAAGAAAGCTCTGGCCAGTCACGTGCTGCACACAATAACAACATTTGAAGCTTTGGGCCTGGCGGCAACAACAACAACCAATCACCATGAAAACGCAGAATCATTGTAACACATTCCCGAGCTTCAACCCCGCGTGCAACTGTGAAAGTGAAATAGTGGCCGAGGCAGCGGAAGCGGCAACAACAATAAGGATATTGTGCGAGGACACGCAGCACGCGAGAGGTGAAAGTTGCGCTCAAGTTTGCTCTCAACGCAGCGTTTGTCTCTCTGGGCGAGGGCGAAATATATCCCTTCGGCTGTTTTAGTCGCGGTTTGCGATTGAAATTTTTGCGCTGCTGCTGCGCTTCTGTTGTTGCCACTCTCCTGTTGTAGCTGTTGTTGTTGTTGTTGTTGCCGCACCATAATTTTTGCAACATTGTTCGCTTCTCTTTTTGGCGCGTGGCGCGTGGCCGGGGCCTGGCCTCGGCTCTGTGGCAGACTCCTAAAGGATGCAATTGCCTTGGCGCGAGGACAGCGAGCATTGCCTAGTCTCAGTCTCAGTCTCAGTCTCAGGCTCGGGCTCAGTCTCAGTTTATCTCTGCCAGAGAATTGTTGTGTGTGTGCAACGCGGCGGATTTAACAACCAACAACAGCAATAAAATACAAACACAATTCAAGCCACAAAATCAAATAATTTACAAAAAAAAACAAAAATATAAAAAAAAAAAAACTAACATAAATAATTAAAAAACAATAATTAAACAACAAGAATTTTAACCAAAGTTAACAAAGCGTTTCAGCAACAAAAACCAAAATTCTAACAACATTTGTAACACATTTTTTGCATATAAAACCTTAAAAAAAAACTAACATAACAAAATCTAAAGTAAGACAATAAGAAAAATAATCCTTTTATTTTTTTGTATAAATATTTAACAAGGACACAAAAAGACAATGCAAAAAAAATAGTTCAAGGTTGCAAAAAACGAAAATAATTTGATTTTGAATTTCAAAAAACAAAACAATTTAATTCTGTTTTTGTACAAAGAAATATGCCAAATGAAACAGTCAAATGTAAGTCAATGTATGCGTGTGTGTGCGTGTGTGTGTGTGTGTGTGTGTATGTCTGTGTGTGTGAAGGCATCAACACAAACAGAATGAGGCATCGAGATCCGAAAAAGGAAACTGCTCAAAGAAAAACCAAATGCAATTCAAATCAAAAGAACAATAACAAAAGCACAACAAGCACACACAAGCACACACACACACACACAAGCACACACACATATAGTTAACAGCACACACACACACACATACACACATTTACATGTCGCTTTCTGTTAAGGCAGCGCCTGTTATGTAATATCCTGTTTCTGAAGCTGTCGCCTGTCATGTTACAAGTCCAGCCAGGCAAATGCTTAGGAATGGGCACAATATCTGTGTGCGTGTGTGTGCGTGTGTGAATGTGTGTTGGCCTGGCTTGAGCTCTTGTGTGCGGGGGCGTGGCATGCACCTCAGTTTTAGCTGCTGCTAAAATGATTTACTACACTGTGAAACGCTTCATGGGCACGGCATTGAGACATTAACACGAAGGACGAATCATCCTTTAAATATATATATATATATATACCTAATGGGGACACATTCTCACATCCAGATACAATATTTTTAGTGGCCACAGGGCCAGCGATTTTGATTTGTGTGCGTGTGCGCGTCTGTGTGCTAAGCATGCAAATATGCGACACTAATTCGATGAGCAAATGCTAATATTACGCATACGCCGCATTGGTCGAAGGTCGTCGCCACAGAGTTGGCCATTTTTGTTGTTGTTTTTGTTGTTTTTCCTGTGTGTTCTTTTTTGCACGGCCAGCGCCTAATTAATGAAATGTATGTCATAATGCGACAGGCAGTTAGTAGGTCAAGTGAATTCCATGCTGAGGTTGAGGGCCAAAAACTCTTTCGCATCAAAAAGCCCTTGGCCAAAAGAGAACAAGCCTTCCGCCAACCAACCCCTAACCCCTAACCCCTTAAGCACGAGCAAATGCGACGATGTTGCGCGTAAAGTAAATAAATATATGGGCGTTTTCTAGCCAAGTCGAGCTACGTGGTAATACATTAGCCTTTAAATGGGTTGGGCTTGGTTTTAGCTGTCGGGCGCCTGGGATAATAAATAGATCAGTCGACAGCAGCTAAAATGCAGTAGGAAATTGAAAATAGGATTGGCTTTCCAATCAAATAGTTATTTTTTCAATATATTCTTTAAACTATATCAAACTAATTGTTCTTATTATAAATCTAATTGTTTTGTGTCTTACTAAGCAGTCTCTATCTAACTGTCAACGCACCTCACTTTTCCATTTTTTCCATTGCTAATATTTTGTCTAAATATTTCACTTTCACTCACAATAATTCATTGAAATCTGTTTTAAATTCTGCACAGGCGATTTATACATATATTCAAATTGTTGTGGCATGCTTCAAAGTGCAGTACCAAATAATACAAAACTAAACGGTGAATGTTCCACAAGCTAAACTACAGTTTGTACCAAAAATAAATAATAATAACAATGCTTGAGTTCAACTAAAAACCTCACAATAATATAAAGAGAGCCCCACACAAAAGAGATAAAAACATAAACAATTACTGTGCTAAACAATACAATTGTTAACTCAACTTAAATTAAACAACTAAAACAAAAGAAACTTCAAATAAGTCTTCACACAAATTGCACCCCCACAGAAGGTAAGTTAATGGGCACAATTTTTAACTATCTTAATGTTTAGATTTGAACTCTTATGCGATTCTATGTGTTGTGTTTCGATATTTTATGCAAGATTTTTAAGCACTTTTTACATGCAAGCGGATGAAAAATGAAAAATGGAAGCTAAAGGCGTAATCTTAAGCAAGCGGGGGATTAGAAGGAGAAGAGGGAGGAGACGTTGTTATTCCAACTGCTCAACATGCAAAGCTGAGATACAAATTTACTGATCAGAGCTCAAACTCTGATCAAAATGATATACATTAAGCTGGGTTCGGTTTATACTCATATAAAGAAGTCTATTTGGAGTTTTGGTTGGGCTTTTGCTGGGGTAATACAAATATTTTTAATTATACTTATGTGCTAAGCCTTACCCTAATCAAGACTAGTTGGGCTAAAAGGGCAGCTGCTGCACGGCTAAATTCCAGGCGGGCAGGCCGCGACACACATAGACGCAACAATTGTAGATTTTGGGCTCCGTTTTGCCCATATGAACGTTAGCCAAAATGGCGCACAGGCTGCCCAGCTGGTAGTCCGGCTGCTGGGCCAGTGTCTCGGTGTTGCCTTTCAATGCTGCAGAGGTAGGTTAAATAATTAGCGTGAACCTGTGTATGTTATGCTCTCTAACTCTACCTTTGACAGTGCCCTGCGAGATCCAGGCCTGGCGATCTATGTGCGTCCAGGGCACGATCTGTGGATTGGCCGGCTTTGTCCACTGGCTGAGCATATTGGCGGACACATTGTCCATGTTGGCGTCCAGCGCGGGCATTAGTGTGCCCATCACAGTGGGACACAGGGCGCCATGGTAATAGTCCTGGGCGCCATATAGGGCGCTGTACAGACCCGAGCTTAGCACGCGCGTCGAATCGCAGCCAAACAGAAAGACAACGCCCTTGATGCGATTGCGATAAATCAAGCGAGTTGAAACATACTGCAGACTCGAGCCGTGACCTGCATAGCTGCAAGAGAATGTTGGATCATTTGGTTGCCAGGTTAGCTATAATGTGGTTACCTACACAAAGCAATCGGCTTTGAAGGCCTTCTCAAGCATAAACTGTTCGCTGGGCACCGTCTCGTACATGTGCTCCCAGTGAGTCAACCAGTACTCGAGAAAGCTGCGCAGACGGCGACCCGAATTGGCTAGATCCGCATCGGGATTGATGACCGTTATGCCGCGCTTAATGTTAACCGTATAGTAGCCACATTGTATCTGGTTCTTGTGGCACTTGAACAGGCGCCACAAGCTGTGCAGCGACTTGATGCGCGTGCACTCCTGCATGGACGCCAGCTGCTCCCAATGCATATGATCCAGGCGCTAAAAAGAACAACAATTACGAGTTTCGAAATCTGACTACGCTGCGAGCTTAGCTTGCCTCATCCACCACCAGAATGATGGGAAAACGTTTAGCAGCCAGCGGCTCCCGCTGTTCCAGCTGCTGCCAGTCGCTGGCACAGCTCTTGAGCAGCTCATAGACGAGCAGCGCTTCAGTCTCATTGTTATTGTTGTTGTTCTGGCTGTTGCCGCTAAGCTCATAGCTCAGCTGTTTCATCTGGTCGCGTGGCAGGCGATTCGCATGCAATGCCGCCTGCGAAAGGAGTACGCGCTGATGATTGCTCCAGCTGTGCTGCACACAGAACTCATCCACGCGGCCGTAAACCGCCTTGGTTTGCTGCTGCACGGCGGCGCTGGGGTAACGCTTGCCCAGAAACACATAGCTGTAGGGGCTAAACACGCTGCCAAGATCCGCAATCAGTTTCTGCAAGATTCAAGAGCATGAGCATTTGGTAACTGCAGGATCACAGCTTTACCTTCAAGAACTCTTCAAAGGCATTCACTTCCTTCCAGTATTTGGCCTTGGCCTCCTGCGCCTTCACCGTCAGCGGATCGACAGTGACCACACGCCTGAAACGCTCCACCAACGTGCCGTACGCCTTAAATAAGCTGGCCATTGCGTCGCTATTGAGGCGCAGGCAAGTGGCGGCCAGCTCTGGACTGCGGCAGTGACGCAGCAGGGACACATAGATGTCGCCATTGGCGCCGGCAATCTCGCAGAATGTGGAGTATGTGGTGGCAGCATTGAAGCTCTTGCAGAGCTGCAGCACGCACCACTCGTCGGGCAGCTGGCGGCATATGTGTGTGATGCGCGCAAAGCCCGCTGTGGGCTCTGACACATCTTCGAGAAAGTCCAGACTATCTACGGGCGGTTCTTTGGTTTTTGCCTTGCTCTGTTCCAATTTCTGTTGGTATCTCAATATGTTCTGGAAGAACTTGTTGCTGCACAGAAGAGTACGTAGAGTCGGTTCGTCAGTTTACATGGTTTCCACCTAGTTACACTCACCTTTTGTAGTCGGCTTTCTCCTTGGCGCTGGCTTCTGAGAGAATTTCCACTGTGCTTGGTTGCTGATTTTCCAGTTCCTGTGCCTCGGTCAGCAGCCGCATGTCCGCGCACTGAAAGAGCGCTCGCACCTGATAATAGATCGAGTCCTGCTCGTTCCCATTGCGGTACTCCTCGTCCGCACGCAGCAAATTGTATTCTGTCAGGACGCGCGCTTTGCAGTTGGTTGCTAATTGAAAATTGTGTATTTTACCTACCTTTTGTTTCGGGACCAAGCTGCACGCTTGTTAAGCTGGTCAATTCATTTTCCGTTGCTTCGGCGTCAAACATTCTGCACTAATATGGTTGAAACTTAATTTGTAAATTCGAAAAACGGCGCCGTCAGCTTCAGATTCTGCATGCCACAAGTTGTTGTTGTTTTTACAGTTTGCTTGCCGCAGTGTTGGCAACGCTGCAAAAACAGTGCTGCGCATCACTGCAGATATCGATATGCGCACACTGTAGCTCGTTTCACTAACACTATATCGATACTAGTTATGGTAATTTTTAGTACATTTCTGCGCGGGTAGTTCAAACACTGCAAGCAGAGCATAAGTATCAAAATTTAGTTATTTCTAGTGTATTATTTGCGGTGCAGTGTGAGAAATTTGAAAATTGCTACCTCTTATTGGAAATATTAAATCAAAGTTCATTACAAAAGGTAAAAAGCAATATAAATCAATCAGGTGTGGCTTGGAGCACTATTACTGCACGGCACGTGCTGCAGACTCCGCGCTTACGGCGCAAAAGCTCTGCTGCTGCTGTTGTTGTCATTGTTGCTGCTGCTGCTGCGACCGCGTGTATTCATTCATAAAAACGCAGCGACACGAAAGTTCGCGTGGCGAAACGTTGGCCAAAGCTCTGCGCAGCGGCGCAGATGCCCAAACACCCAGAAAACTGTGTCAATCTCGTCTAACACATGTGTTTGCGCGTGCATGTGTATATGTGTGTGTGTGTGTGTGCGTGAATGTGTGTGAATGTGTTTATACAATGTACATTATATTGGCTCCCCGGTGAACCACACCCTCCAGTTGCCCTAAAAAACCTTACGCAACAACAAAGCAGCGACACACATTGGCAATTATTGCAACAGTAACAACAACAACATCAACAACAGCATAAAAGGCAACAAGAACTTTGACATTTTACAGCAAGGTCCAGCGCTGACTTTTGTTCGCGTCTTTTTGCTGCCTGCTGCAGGCCGCTGCTGCAGTTTCTAATGACGTTTCTTAAAGAGATAACGGCAGTAACAGCGGCAGCGGCAGCGGCAGCAGCAGCGGCAGCGGCGTTGTGCGTGGGGTGTGCACGCAAGCCGTGTGTGTGTGTGTGTGTGTATGCGTGTGAGGGTCTGACGTCAGTGAGCCTGGCGCATCCCGTTCGTGTGTCTGTGTGTGTGTGTGTGTGCATGCGTGTTTATTCCTTTTTTTTTTTGTTTTTGTCAGCCGCTCCCCAGCTGCTACTGCAACCTGCAGTTTGAATGCGAGGCTGCTTTAGCCCAGCACTTTTCCTGTCCCCCCCTACCAATCAACCAACTCGAACGCTTTACACTCTTCTGGGTCCTTTGGCCCCGGTCTAAGGTTGTTGAATTATGTATTTATTGGGTAAATGAATGCAGCGTGACAGTGGCAGCAATATTATTATTGATGCAGCATCCGCAGCAATGTAAGCAAAATTGACAACTTGACGAGACTTTCGTTAAATATTGAAAGCACGCCGACGCACAAGCACCCGCTCTCTCTCTCTCGCTCGCTCTCTCTCTCTATTTTATACGCTTTTTCCCTGTCTGTCGTGCACTTTGCCTTTGCTACTTTGTGTTTGTTGTGTATTGTTGCGCTGCCAGCGTCGCTGTCGGCGTCGCTGCTGGCCCGTTGGCCGCAGAGCACTCAGCATCCTTTCTACTTATTAATTTTGATGTTGCTTTTCACTTTTACTTTGTGTATGTTAAACGTGCCTCAGTCTGAGTCTAACATTTTCAGCGAGTAGGTGAGTGTGTAGGTGTATGAGTGTGAGTGTGTGTTTGTGTTTGTGTTTGTGTCACAAATGTCCCATGACAATCATCTGTTGTTGTGGTTACTTGAATTTGCAACACTTTTGTCGTTTGGGCCATAAAAAGTTGACTTGCTGTTTGAAGCGCACGTTCAATCTTTTTGACCAGCGACCATTTGCACCACAGCACCATTAACCATCCCCGCAACCACCTGGCAACCCTGTGCATTATTTATGAGCCACTGCCAATGCAAAAGCTTGGCACGTACATGTGTATGTGGCCAACCTGCGAGCGGGTTGAGTGCGTCGTACGCCTAGCAAATTATAACATTAATATTACATTAACGCACACAAGCGTGCATGCTCACACACACACACACACACACACACACACTCACATGCATCGGGGAGACATTAAAACGAAACAGAATGGCAAAAACTTTCATTTGACGTTCTAACAGCAAGCACAACAAGAACAACAGCAAAAGCACGCGACATGTAAAATAAATGTAACAAAATGCGCCCGAACACGAAGCAGAAACAGAAACAGTAGAAACAGCAGCAGAAGAAGCAGAAGCGCGGCAGCATCAACGCAAAAAAAAAAACAACAAAAGGCCATCACAAGCACTGGCAGCGGCAGCAGCAGCGGCGGCGGCGGCGGTGGCAGCAGCAGACACCCCAAAAAATATGGCACACATTCCAACAGTTGCAGCGATGCCAACGTCGACAGCGACGCTCAGCAGAGATCCCTCTGCCAGCTGCTGCTGCTGCTGCTGCTGCTGCTGCTCCTGCTCGTTTGTGCGCTGCTCGCAAAGTCAAAGCGATTTTCGAAGTCGACGGTTGTGTGGCTCGCGCTGCTTGCTTCGGTGCTGCTTCCAGAAGCAACTGACAAACGCTTTTAACACAACCAAAAAAAAAAAATATATAAAAAAAATAAAGAAAACACCAACACACACAACACACACATATACATATTCTAGGCAATTGCAAAAATCGACAAGAGAAGTAAGCGAAAAATCAACAACAGCAGCGAGCAGAGCGCGTGAAAAAAGTTTAGCTTGCTTTTGGGCAGCGCACAAACGACGCCAACGCAAAATAACTTTTGAGATTAACAAATGCCAATTGAGCAGTGTGTTAAGTGTATTTAAATCGACATTTAAGTAAATTAAGGTGTGGTGATTTATGCAACTTTTTAGCCACACGCACGAGCACAGGGCGGCGACAGACACATACATAAGCGGTGTGGAGGGGACGCAGCGTGGAGAGCAGCAGCAGCAGCAGCAGCAGCCAACGACTGCACATAGCTCTAAGCCAAAGCACACACATACACGAAGAGCGGAGGCATACAAAATAAAGGATAACGACGAACGAGCAACGAAAAAGCAAGAAAGAAATCGAAATTAAAATATATGTTGTACAACAACAACAACAGCAACAACAACAGCAACAGCGCAAGCAATTTTCGGCTGTCGCTGTAATTCGAAGCTCATCTGCGCTGCTTTGCTCTCTGCTGCTGCTGCTGCTGCGACGACGGCGGCTGCTGTGTGGCTGCTGTCTCTGCTTCGCTCTCTCCGCTTCGCCTGCTGTATGTGTGTGTGTGCGTGCGTGCTTCGTCAAGTGAAAACATTTCGTTTCGTCCAGTTTTGTAGGTATTTTGGCTGGCCAGGAGGCTGCTACACACAAATCTACAGAGCGACGACGACATGTCCTCGTCATCTGCTGCTGCTGCTGCTCCTGCCTGGCAAAAGTGAACAAAAATCTAAATAAAAATCATTTAAAAAAAATCTATTAAATAAATAATAATACATTTCCAGAACAATTAAGAAATATAAATAATATACAAAATTGCACACAAAGTTGAAAAGCGAGCACAAGGAATTGGTAAAAGCAAACATAAAAGAACATTTTGTTGTGGGTTATTTTGCAAACAGGCAAAAGGCGTTGCCAAATCAAAAGCAGCAGCACGCATTGTGGCAACAAACAAACAAAGAAAAAAAACATAAATAATAAACCTAAAACAAAACACAGTATTATTATTGTTACGAAAAAGAAGCATGAGAACAGCAAGCATATATTAATCATACGCACAGTTAAACACCGCAAAACGCAAAAACAAAAAAACAAAAAAAAAACAAAAAACAAATGCAACAGCACCAAAAGTGAAATTTTCAAATGACATTGTGAAAGGCAGCACAATTCCAGGCTGCATTAATAATAAATACAACAATCATATAGCACGTATATAGGATATAAAAGGATAAAAGGACTCGGCACAGGAGACACTCTGCCTGTTCTATTATTTAACTGCTTACAACAGACGTTTTCAACTTGACGAAAGCTGATTGAAAGCCGCTTTCAACAACAGCATCCATCGCCCACGGTACGAAAGAGAGCACAGCGCAGCGAGAGAGCGAGTGAGCGCGTCTGTGAGCGTGACAGCAGCTGCCGACGTCAACGTCAACGTCAATCCGCTCAATATTTATATTGCACGAGACCAATCTACGCTCAAACTCGGACGCAGACGCCATTAGGTCCTGGGTTTCAGTTTGTGGCTCTGGTTCATCTGGTGCCTGGTCCAGTCGCAAGCAGCACCAAAATAAATAACATCTGACAGCTGCTGCTGCTGCTCCTCCTCCTCCTCCTGCTGCTCACACGCCAGGTCCACCCACGCCTTGCCTCGCCTCGCCAGTCGAGCTCGCACAGGCCTAGGCAATAAGCACAAGATAAACAAACTACAGCTGTAACTGTGACTGTAACTATAGCTGTGTCTCTAACTGTGTCTCTAACTGTAACTGCAACTGGAACTACAATCAAATACAACAAACCAACAAAATAACAAGCAAAAAATAAACAACTAAAAAACACGCAATGGGTGCCAAGGAAAGTGTCGAGGCGGCCGTCAAAATGAACGCCGATGGCTGGGGTCACGTGGAGGTGTGTATACAAACAATCTAATCGTATAATAACAACAACATTAACATTTAACTAACCATAAGTTAGCCACGATAAGATATATAACTGTTTTATTGTGCTTTTTTTGTTTACGAGCTCAAAGAAAGCAAGGAGAAATTCGCAATTCCTTGCAGGCAATTTCCTTTCTCAGAGTGCTCAGCACAACTCTTTAATAACTTTTTTCTAAAATGTAAACGATATAAACTATTTCACATAGTTTATCAAATAGTTTACTTAAACAGAATTTGGTTTAATTACGATGTCATGTTTAATACTAATATTTGAACTGGGAATCGTTGCTAAATAGTAGATATATATCTTTATAAATGGTTATCGAAAGCTATTGAGATCACGCCGAGACAATAGAAGAAAAAAAAGAAATGGAAAAATATCCAATATATAGGCACTTATTATTTGAATAGTAAAAACTTTATGCAGAGCAGAAATAAATTGAATTTTTGAATGCACATTGAATGATTAGTGCCTAAGAGAAATGTTTTTCTTTAAAGATAGAAAACTTATATTCAATATACCACACCTACATCTATAACAATAAAAGGCTCGAATTGGCCTTGGCCAGGAACCTTTTAAAGTGAAAATTGAATCCAATTTTTAAATCTATTTTCATTTTCCCTCCACAAAGACTTATCGAATATAAGTGAACGTTACTTCATAAAATATCATAAAGGATGATATACTTAAGCTCTTTCGATTTTATATAATTATAGTTTGTTCTATCTCGTTTATTGCACACACACACATACACACGCTAACACACATACATACATACACACACATGCACACACATTTAACCCTTCAAGCTGGGTATTTTATCAAACTTGAGTCATCTTTTACTCGTATCTGGCTGTCAATCGCACTGGTCCACAACTCAATTTGTCAATGGGTGAATGTTGGTGAATGGAAGGGGAAGGGGTGAGGGAGAGGGGGGGGGGGGGGTACAACGTCTGTGGCGAGTGTGACCCAAAAATCGGCAGAGCTGTCGCCAGCTTCATTCCTTATTGCATTTTGATGAGCACTGCGACGACAATCGAGAGCGACTGAGCGCTATTTGATTGATTTTAAAAATAAATTTCAACAAAATCAAAAACAAAAACCAAACACGTGCAAAGCGCCACAAAGTGTGGCATCCACTCGATGAGCCCAAAGTATGCGGGCAGCAGCATTTGTTCTGCTTATCGCCAGATCTCTTGCGGCTCTTGAGCGCAACAAACAAACGCTGTGTGGGCGAGCGTCAGCTCTTGAGATCTCGCCGAGACAATGAGGCTGCTGCATAAGATTTACGGCAAATGTGGAGAGCTGCTCGAGTTGCTGAGAAACATAGAGGGAGAGAGAGAGAGATAGAGAGAGAGAAATAGTGAGGGAGAGGAAGAGTGGGAGAGCGTTACGTAGCGTCTGAATAAATGAATGAATGAAAAATGCGCTTTGATTTTCCCTCAATTTCCGTTTGGAGTATTTAGTTGTTTGCTTGACTCTGTCGCGTGTATTTCAAATGCTCTTTTGGCACTCTACAAATATTTATATAAAAAATAATTCCAGTAATTCTATGACCCCAGTCGGCTCGTAAACAGGTGTCTGTCTGTCTCAGCGGTAAAGTCAGTCTGTCTAAGCAAAAATAGATAAAGTGTACATATACTATAGCCTGGCTAGCCAAACAAACAACAAATGTGCTCAGCATATGTGGCCAGCAACAGGCTGCAGACAGCCCAAAATCAAAGTGAAGAATAAAAATATGATATATATATATATAAGTTTATATTTAAGGTGTACCAAGAGAATTTAAAATTAAATAAGGGGGCAGCCTCATATGCAACATGTGCGCGAGTGTGTGTGTGTGTGTCAAAGAACATTAAACTCACCGATCGATCAGATCGAATCATAAACAACTAAATCAAAGCAAACTTCAAAGCACTTTTTTCCGCTAAAAATCTCCAAGTTGTAGCGTTTTTTTTTTGCCTATTTTTTTTGTTGTTGAGTATTTGTGTTGTTGACACCTACACGCCAGCGTCGTTGCAGCATGGGGCAGCGTGCGGAGAGCTGGGGCGCGGCAGGGGCAGGGGCTCTAACCGGCAGAGCGACTGCATTTTGGGCCAGCAATAGCTTTGAACTCGCTTCGTTCGCACCTGTCGACAACGGCAACGTGTTGGTGATAATAGCCCTGGCTGCAGCCGGCGTGGGTTGTTTCATGGTTTAATCACAGATCTGGAAAATTAAATACGTGTGTGGCACAATCGTTGCTTAATACATGCTTCAAGTTCAAATTGTATGATTTATGCGGCAGATCTTGGTATTTCTGGTATTTGACTGCATACGATTTTTCTCTTTTGTTTGAATATACATATAAATATATAAGTGTGTGTATGTATAGATATATCTTGTGCAAGCTTGATTGACAAACAGGTGAAAAAGTTTGAAATATCGATGAACGGTCTTAAGTTTCGACTGGGTGTTGTGTAATTTGTGCAGCATATCCATGATAAAAATCATATGTTAAATATGAAGGGATAAAAATTAATTATTTTCTCAATGAGAGAAACTTTCTTAAGAGAAATTTTCTTTTATATAGTCTTCACTTATTTATTTATAATGAATTTCTGTTGATCAACTTATATAATTAATTTTAGATAAGGACTCTAGCATTCTAGCATTTGGATTATAATCGGATATTGCCTTAGGAATTACAAATCAATTTTCTTTTATAAAATTAAATGCTTGTAAAGGGTTACCTCTTAATTAATTCCTGAGCTAGCCACATGCATTATCCAATTGATTTGACTAATAATTCTTTTTTGCTTTCTCCTCTCTCTCTCTCTTGCCCCGACCCTTCAGCAGCGCGGTAGTCGCTACCACGGCCATCGGCATAATCAACGGTCGCAGTCGCTGAATCGCGGCCAGGCGCTCTCGCAGGCGGACGTGACCGGCATGTGGTGACATCGGGGTGCCTCTGGTAAAGGTGAGTGTTCGTATATCGATCAAGTTCGATAAATATTGACCGGCTATTTATTCACACCGTAGCAGGAGCTGCGGTGAGCTGTGCCAACTGCGCCATGGGCAACAAACTGAGCTGTTCGTGTGCGCCTCTTATGCGCAAGGCTTATCGCTACGAGGATTCACCCTGGCAGAGTTCGCGTCGTCGGGATGGGCATCTATTGAGGTGAGTTTGGCTGTTTAAGCATTGGCAGGCAGCAATCTTTGTGCTCTTGTAGTTGACTCTTTTGTTCTCTGACTGGCTGTGAATATGGAACAATAACAACAACAACAAAAACCAATTGAATTCGCTATTTTGAGAACTTTTGTAATTTAACTAATTGTGTTCTTTTTCTGGTTTTTCTTTCTTTCAAAAACTCAATATGAAAACAAAACGAAAAACGAAAAACTTTCGACTCTTGCCTTCACTTCCAATAATCCAACAACAACCAACACACACACAACCACACACTGCCTAATCAAATTCGTTGGGCGCTACAACAACAACAACAACAACTAATCTGCAACAACTTTTCCTTCCTAAACGACTGCAACAACAACAAACAACAATTGTAAAACTGCGCTTCCTTTGTTTGACTTTACGTTCAATTGAAAAACCCTCCAACAAAAATGAAACTTCCTCAACCACAAATTTGCACCAAATTTCAATTGGATGAACCAACCCAACAACAACAACCAACAACCAACAATTAAACAACCAACAACCAACAACAACAACTTTTGCAATAATCAATTTGTCAACAATCGTTTTATTAACCAACGCTAGTTCGTTCAGGTTGTGGGCTGAGGTCTTTCACGTATCGGCTAGCGGCGCCGGCACCGTCAAGTGGCAACAAGTGTCCGAAGATTTGGTTCCTGTCAACATCACATGCATTCAGGACTCGCCCGAGTGCATCTTTCACATTACCGCGTACAATAGTCAGGTGGATAAGATACTCGATGTGCGACTTGTGCAGCCAGGTGAGTTGCAAGCCCCACCCAAAGCTCCACCCTTTGTTTACTTTCGTTAATTGAATATGGTTTTAATGTGTGTTCGTGTGTGTTTGTGTGTGTGTGTGTGTGTGGTATTTGCAGGAACACGCATTGGCCAGGCATCGGAATGCTTTGTTTACTGGAAGGATCCAATGACAAACGATACTTGGGGCCTCAATTTCACATCGCCCATCGATGCCAAACAGTTTCGGGAATGCTGTGTAAGTATTCTCTTACAGTTTTTTGCATATTGCAAGCGCGACGACGACAAGCAACCACCTCAACTGATACCTCAACCAAAGAACCACCTCAGCCAACCACAAATACAAACACTGAAAAAACATGTGCACCCCACACACACATACACACTTCCTTCCACTACTAACAATAACAATAACAATAATGGGCAGTTCTCTGCGGCATGCAACAAAGTGTGGCAAGCAACTGCCCGCAACAAAGCCACAACATCTGCCACAAATGCAAACCACAAGTTGATGATGCTGTGATGATGACCGACCGTGATGAATGTTTGATAATGATGATGCGGCTCAAGCTCGTTAACTTGTTTTCTTTCCGTTTTATCTATTGAGCTCTATAACTATCTAGATAAAGTATTTCCAACAAATCTATCATCTTAAGTCAAGCTACAATTTTGTTGGAAAACATTCAACAGCTTTGAAATGTGTACGCAAATAGGCTCAATTCATGCCATGCCATTTGTCACAGTCAATATCACAGTCGCAGTCGCAGTCACTGTCACAGTCACAATCACAGTCACTGTCACCCAACACACAGACAAACACAACAGACAGACACCGCTCTCTAAACTGCTTTATCAAGTACTGCTCCATGTTAATATAATTGTACAAGTATATATCTATATATAATACTATATATATATATTCTCGTTCTTAGTTGACTTACATATGACATATTTTGAATAACCAAACAATTTGCAAAATTTGGCATCGTACTTGAAATTTATACTTAAGTTGAGATTGTGTTATCGAATCTTTCTTTTTCTTTTATTAATAATAATTTGGAAAAAGTATAAAGTAATACATATATAGTAGTGCTATATTATTTATAAGCTATCAGAAACCCGCCTTAACTCGTTGATTAACAATATAAACCAATATACACACAAGAAAACAAACGATCAGAAATTGAAAGAACGAAAAGAAAATGAGGGCAATTTGAAGAGGATATTGAGATATCAATCATATCAACAATATATATACTTAATTACGCTTTTAAAAAATGGAAATAAAACTAAAACTATTTTGCAAGTTATGAAAAAAGTAAAAAATAAGAAGATCAATTCAAATTCAACTTCTGATCAGAGACTTGTACTTACGATCTATAAACACGCCCATACACACACATACACACACACACTCACTTGACAAAGCCCCTCCCCCCACCTATGCCACTCATATAGTCAGAGTATACTGTCTGGATTAGTGTCTAATAATTGTTTCGTTTCTTTTCTTACTTTGCGCCTCATTTGTTGCAGGTATCTTACATAGTAAAAAAATACGTTAGTATCGCTTCATATTATTTATTTGTCACAAAACACAGTACAACTAACTTTACAAACTGCTGCTACTAAGACTCTACTACTAAATAACTAATTAATTTTTTTAATATAACTGCAGAGAAAAGTACGCCTTTAAGATAAATCGTATCTATATATACAGACTCTTAATGTATTTAAAAAAAAAAAACCCAAATCAAAAACCCATTCAAGTAGCGCTTCCCTTTGTCGGGCATGTGTAAGATCTACCATACACACTTGCATACATATGAACTTCTACTCACATTCGCACATGCACACACACCCGCGCACACACACACACACACACACACACATAACAGTGTCCTTAAGTGTTGTAACTGTTTGTAAGTTATTCAATTTTTATGTGTGTCTGTTCCTCCACCCCCTCTATCAGTCAAGTTTTTCCACCCGATTATCACATTAAACTTGTTATCAGAACAGCCAAGAACACACTCATACCATAACAGCTATATATACCAGAAACATACCAGAAATATACCAGATATATACCAAATAAATACTAGCTAATTATTTCAGTCTGAAGACGCGAGTTGCATTCATTTTGTAAATGTACAAAGTTCTTCCACTCTTGTTGTGTGTGTGTGGTAAAAGTTTTAAAGGTTCCAATAATTACTTGCACACACACACACCCACACATTGTTTAGACCCACACACACACACACACACAGACTGACATCACTCACACATACAGTTACACGCACACCCACTAAAATTTGTTAAATGTATTTATATTATATATTCTTTCATTTCTTTTTCTCTCTTCTAATCATTTTCGAATTCATTCTCGAAACACGCCAAAAAATATATATATGTATATATTAAATCAACTGAAAAACTAAATTCGTTTTCAAATATTTCATTTATTGATGCATTTCATTTTGATACTTATGAAAAAAATACAAACAATAAATGTCGTACTTAAATTTGAAATATTACGAACAACTTTTTCGAAAACTACTTTTACAAAAATGACCAAAAAAAAAAAAACTTTACACGCAACAAAAACGATAACAACAACAACAACTACAACAACAACAACAAATAACAAAATAACAATTTTGAATACATTTCTAAATGTACACTTTACAAATCTGTCTATCTATAAAACTCTGTCCCACCCGAAATGCTTTTATTATCTAACATGAATTTTATTTAACTACTCTTAACTATATATTTATGTATGTATAAATATATATTTTCAACTCTATTCGTTTGCATTTGACACGTGCGCCACAAAAACAAAATGAATAAATAACTAACGAAATCAAATCAATTGACAATTTCCATTTGCAAAATCGAATGAACGAAAAACGTAATGAACGTATGAAAATTTCATAAATTATATGATAATTGTATAATAATTGTTCGAATTGCCAAACGTACAATGAAAATGCAAAAGAAAAACGCAAAACGCTTTAAAACAATCGCACGTATCCTCTACTACAATACCGTTACCTATCCACTGCAAACCGTTTCCGATGAGCCCTAAGTTCCCAAGTACAATCCAGCCCGAACCTAATCCCAAGCCAAGTGGGCGGTTTAAATATGCAAATGAAAATCAAATATTGAAATAACTTTCAAAAACAATGCAAAATTTAGACTCGAATCAAATGCTAGCAGCGCTAGGTAGTTAGAAGAGTGTAGCCAAGTGCTACGTTTGAGAATCGCCAAGAGAGGCGACACACAAAGTTAACCGGTTAGGCGTCAGAAGAGGCCAAAGCCAAATATATATTATATATTCTTGGAAAATAGTTTTAAGGTTTTCAAAACCAAAAATCAAATCGAAGCAACACGCACAGGCTCACAATAATTGTTTCCGCAGCAAATTAATCAAAATTAAGCTACAAATGTAATATAATTAAAACTAAGTGTTATTGATAGTGTAAGATGAGTTAACAGTTCAATGGTTGCTTCCAGAATCAAATAAAATTAGAACTAAATGCGCCTAGCGCAGAGATTAGCTCTTTAAAGCACACCCTGCTTAAACGAATGCACTCTTAAGGCTTCATAAACTTAACTAAACTCTAACTACTAACTAACTAATGCTTGTATGTGTATGTTTGTCTACTTCACTTTACTAACTATCTATTTCTATATTTAAACTAAAATATATATATATGTGTATAATCTGACTCAAGGCTTGAGCATGATGTCTAGTAATACTATGCACTCTTCTTATAGTTCTCTAAGTCCTCTAAATCGCACACTAAGCAACAGCTACAAATTTCGCCAAGTCACACGGCTTGTGCCAGTTACATAGATGCAGATCTATATACATGTAGATCTATATCGAGATATATAGACAGTTAATGAGAGAAGAATTTCGAAAGCAGTGAAAGCAGAAACCGCACACACAGAACCTTGTAATCCCAATCAACTAACCTAATGATAGTGCGACGTTTTACAGTC